ATTCGTCCTTTAACATCCACAATTTTATTATCGACCGCTGTTACTCCACCAATTTAACCTGAAGTTTTACTCCAATTTTTTTGCAGGGGTCTCATCCAGTAAGGGAGGCATGTGCCACATTGCTTCCACCAACAGAAAGTCCAATTTTTGTAGAGGAAGGAAATTGCAGGGGTGCGAGAACCACTTTGCTTCTGCTGTTAACCCACCCGGAACTTTACCTTCTTGCAAATTGATTACTTTAGGCTATGTGACTGTCGCGTAACATGCCCCTCCCCATACTGGATGAGACGTCTTTGCAGTTTGCTTCCGTGTTAATGCCAAGGAAACTTGTTTGCGACGTATAGGCGTTAGGTTTCCGTACTACTCTCATTCCCGCTGCAAAAAACATTTCAGTGATAGCAAGTTGGCGACAACAGCAGAGTCGTGCCACCATGGAATGGACAATACCTCATGACGTTGAAAAGAGTCTCTCCTGAAGAGTTTCTTTCTGAGCACCATACGCGAGCTGATTTCCATCCAGTGCCAATACTACTGTTGGTCTGGCGATGTGTATGAGAATATTGATGATAGAGTTGTGCTATTTCAAACATCAGCCAAATATTTATGTGAAAAGCACTACAGAATTTTGCTCTTCATCTTCGATGCGATTCTCGCGACATTGGCGAATTGTTGAATCTCCAACTTCCAACCGGTGAAGTAGTCGTCAACCATGTACGGCAGGTCGTTTTCTGCGCAGAACTGCTTCACCAGTGGCATCACCTGAAGCACTGCCTTTCGCAGGAAAAAATGTCTAGAATGGTTTAGTCCTAATGACAGACCTTGCTGAGGTTATGGCGAGGCATTGTTGGGAAGAGGTGATGCTCTATCTGTAACAAAGAGAATTTTCAGGTCTGGAGAGAAAGCTAAAATGGAGAGATCGAGAAAACTGACGGTTACGGTGTTGTGGCAGTTTTTCCGACAAAATGTACGAGACTTACCTGATAATTGAGTCCGCCCCATAACCAATCAATGAATATGCCAGGGCGCATGTTCCTCGTCGTGTTCACTTGAAGACAGGCGTAATTGGACATGATCTTGGAAGTATCTAGAAAATAGTTATAATGACTGTCAGCAAGCCAAAACAAACTGTGAATTGAAGGCACGGTTCGCGGTAAGATCTTTAGAGCTATTCTCTCTGTAAGTAGGTAGCAGGTCCTCGAGCGCAAAGGTCGGGGCAATATCGCGACTGGGAAGTGCGCGTCAGGGCTGTCATGGCTTTGTTAGACCGCTGCAACCGCTGCAGTGTTTACTCGTTCGCAGCGTACGCGATGTCCGCGCCCTCTCGTACGTCGTATTCCCCCCGATTCTCTCTCCTCACCGGATTGATATCTCTGTGGTGCTACAATCGACCTCACAAGGAGTTTTAATTTCGTTCTATGGGAATGGGTCTTTTTTTTCGGCAGTCACACTTTCAACACACTGTCCCATTCCCGAGTGGAATGGAACATCAATTTGATCGCAACCCGTGCCTTCAAATGACAAATTGGTCAAGCTTCCTCGGATTTCAAAAAACCTACATGGAAATTTGTCCACGGAGTAGTGGTTGTAGGTGACAACGTGAGCTAGAAGAAATCCACCAGTAAGCTGAGAAACAGCGAAGAAAAGCAATCTGAACAGGAATTTGCAGAAGGGTCAAATGGACGGGTCATGACTACGCACCTAATTTGCATTGAAGGAAGAAGATACAGCTGGATTAGGACCAGAATCCAGTGAATAGTGAGGAGATACCTATAATCTGCGCATTAAATTCTGCCAAGTATTCATGTACGGATGACTAATGATCTTCAAGTTGAGCGAAAGCGCTGATTACCTGCTCATAAACAGCTCTGTCCCGATAGTACTTGTAGTAGTGCTGCGGCATCCCGTTGACAAATACAATCGACTGTAGAAGCCAGCTTATTCGAAGCAGTGGCAACATCACAGACCAGTAAATGTGCTGGATAGGGCAGAATCGTGAGCCACCAGTTATCGGCCATCTGAAATCCATTGCACATTCGTCACGTTTCCAATCTTCCCATGAAGTTTAGCAAGCACCGGAAGCTTTCAGAAAGATTCAAAGAACAGATTAGTCCCTCCAGGTGCACAACAGAATCGTGCACCGGTTACTTATTGAAGCTATTTGATCTCATATTTGACAACAGCGGCAAGAGCTACGAGACAGACGGCACGAGAGCAGGAGAAGTAGCAGCTTCATTCACCGCCATTGTACCAGGATTTCAGGAAGCTTTTATCGTCACTTGTTTGCCAGACAAAGTGCTTTCCAAATCCATAACATGGTCTAGGCTGACATAGCATTCGCTTCCAATCAGCGTTCAGAAAACGAAATCCTCAAACAACTCAAGGCGAGTGTTTTTTTTTTACAGTTTGTGAAGAACTGCTGCAGTGTCATTTGAAAAGATGACTGTTCGTAAAATTCAACACAAACCCAATTTAACCCAAAAATAACAAAATCACTCAATGAGCGGTTGACGCTTCTACTTAGAGGTATTCACACTTTTTACGCTTCAAAGGCAAGCTCCGGGATCAGCCTCAGTAGTTGGGAGGATACCGTGAGGGAACTTGTAGTGTCCTTCCCTACAGAGAGCGTGCCACGCCCGTCGCACAAAATGCGCGGTTAGGGCGCTAATCGTTAAGGGGCTGCAACCATCGGCCCTTATTGCAACGCTTCCCACCCACCCATCGATGTGGAGATCAGCGCGCTCTCTCGAACGGTGGCTCTCGCGTGTTCTGTAGTCTTCGCGCTACATACCTTACTGGAGGTCAAGGCCTTGATTTCAGCGTTTCCGATGGTTCTCCTGCCTCTTTTCCACTTTTAGTTCATTTGCAGCTCATCCATCTCTAGGCTGCGCTCTATGCACCAGTTTTATCCCGAAGTTCGCCTTCAAACAGAAAACTTCGATAAAGTGAAGCAGAAAGATTACAGAGGGTCATTTGGATACTCTACTTGTTGGTTAATGAGCCCAATTTTTGGTGCTAACTTAGTTGGGGGGGGGACCACGCGGCGGCGCGGCGCTCTGTTCGTCTGCTCCTCTAAGGCTTAGTCCAAGGGGCAGTTACTATTTCGTCGCCACGTGGCAGTTTCGAAATACGCGCCATCGGCGGACTAAGCCTTGGAGGAGCAGACGAACAGAGCGCCGCGCCGCCGCGCGGTTTCCCCCCTCCCCAACTAAGTTAGCACCTAATTGTTTTTTGAATTAATATCGAAAGGCTGACAGTATTCGCGCCAGTGCACGTTATGGATTGTGCCTTTGCTCAGGAGAGGACTGTAATAAGCCTACCTTAAGGTCTTGCACAACAGTAGCCCAAAGCGGCATCAGATCGAGATCTCCGTCTCGTCCGACGACGTTGGTAGCAGCGTGATGGATGTTGTGCTGCTCCTTCCACCCACCCGATGAGAATCCTTGCAGAAGATTCCCCACGACATAACTGTGAAACAGTGCGATCACTTGCGAAGTCTTTTTCTTAAGAAATTGGACCAATGAAGCAACCTTGCAAGATCATTATGCCAGTGGTCCTTGAAGAGCTGATTATGCGCGAATTCGTGGATAAGCCATCCGAGTTGCTGCCACGCAAGACCCATGAGCACAGCTGACGTTATATACCATCCATTAAGTTGCAGATAGACGGCCGTCGCGATTATCAGCAACGATTCCACCACCTAAATAGATTTTTTTCGTTGAGAATTGCTTATTACATGTGAGCGGTAGACTACTTAGCAATGTGAATCTTTGGCTTAATAGTTTGCTGAGTAACCTTTG